CCATGTGGGTCAGCTCCCTGGCCGGAGATCGAACTCATGCTGCAGTGGCTGTGGTAGCTTAATAGTGCGTGCTTTAACCCGTTGCGCCACCAGGGAGGGCCCCTACCTTGCTTTTTCTAATGAGCAAAATAATTTGCCCAAATGTTGACGGACCTTTCATTCCACACAAATGTCACAGGGAGGATTTGGCCTTCTTGGAAAAAGTTCCCTCCTTTGATAGATTAACTGTTCACTTTATGATTTTCAGCTCAATCAGGTTCTGCTGGGGCTTTAATTTCATGATCTCATCACCCCAGAGCCATTGTTAAGGACCCTTCCAAGTTTTACTCTAATTACTGAAAAATTATTTGCTTGCTTCGTAACCATAGGTGTTGCACAAGGATGCTGAATTGGCCTTTGTGTGCTTTCATTCTTTTCCTGTTGAAGTCAGGCATCTGAAAAAATGAAAACTTCTTTTCCATCTACCCTGTCTTTCTTGATCCAGGAACATTTGAGATTATCATTAATGCTGGGTCATTTCTAACTCAGCCAATGCAATTGTTGAATTTGTGGTTTTCAGCAGATTTTCAGTTTGGCTTTTCATCTTTGACTAATGATTGCTTTTAGGCCTTTGTGATGTATTCACTTTCCTAACGTTTTAAATAAATAGTGAAATGTCATGGAAACCGGGCTCGTTTCTCTCTCTCTTTCTATGTGCTTGTTTTGGTTGTTGCCCTCCAGTGATGATTTCAGCTGAGGAGAGTGAACTAGATATGACTCCTCTATGCTTCGTGCCCTTGGGTGGCCCAGAGGCCATCATGTGAGCAGATTGACATCGATGTCAAGGAATCTGCTAAGGAGGATGTGGAAGAGTGAGAATCATTTTGGGTCTTTGTTTACTCATTTGCGCATTTCACAATTGGGTTTTATTGAGGTCCTACTGTGTATGTGCCAAGCACTAAGCCATTCGAGGTATATCCCTGCCGACTGGATGTTTGCTGCGGGACAGGGAATACATGAGTTAGGGGCCTTTTGGCTGGAACCACCATCTTCCAGTGAAGTGCCAAAATGACCAGCACACAGGGAGAGAGGAGAGGCATCTGTGTGCCTCCTCCAGGCTTTCAGAAAACATGTCCTTTGGCCACAGACATGTGAATCCACAGGAAAGGTGGTGTTGTTGACATCAAGGGTGTGGGTGCTATTCCAGGAGGAACGCCCCCACGCGTTACCATGGCAAAACTGAGAGTCTGTAATGTTACCCACCCTGCACTTGGCATTGTGGTCAACACACAGGGCAAGATTCTCGCCAGGAGAGTTCATGTCCATCTTGAGCCATGATGGTTTCCCGAACCACGTGAACCAAGATAATCAGACAACAAGGAAGCCAAAGAGAAAAATGCTTGGGTTCAACTGAAGCGCCAGCCTGCTCCTCCCAGAGCAGCTGATTGCGTGAGAGTGGGAATGGGAAGGCGCTGAGTGGCTGGACCTCACACCTGACAAACTCACGGCATGATAGATGTGGAAAAAAAACAAAGATTTCTGGGCTATGAAGATAGAAATGTGTAAAGATGCAAATTAGCATGGAACTATCAAAGTTGTATCAATGTGGTTTGTCAGTGGGAACATTCTTTAATATCACCACAGCGCTCATCAGAAGTCTTTAAGCAGCCAGAAGCTGTGACTTCTGGTAGCAGACACAAGTTTTCCAAAATCCCAGCCTCCCCCTGAAAGCTCAGATTTGGACATCTGGCCACACACCCTGTCAGCATTTGCCTTGACATGGCAGGTGCATATAAGGCTATCCACCCTGGTACCCACCATCCCCTTGGGCTTTTCCTGGGTGGCCTTTTCATTGTGCTCCCCACTGCAGCAGATGCACCTTTGGGCCAGTTCCTACGGCTCCAGCAAGTTCTGTAGTGAAATGGGCATTTTTCATTCTATTCTATTCTATTTTATTTTTTAGAAATATTTATTTACATGTGCATATAAGAACGGGTTCAGGCCAGAGGTATGGGGTGAGGGGGCTAAGAGGACTCACCAGAGACAGAGTGGAGGGCAGAACAGATGCATCAACTGAAGTACACTGCTGAGGGGAGCAGCAAGCGAGACAGGAGAGGTCTGTTCCACCATGTGGGTCAGCTCCCTGGCTGGGAATCCAATGTGCTGCAGCGGCTGCAGATTGCTTCATAGTGCTATGCTTTAACCTGCTGCGCCACCAGGGAGGGCCCTCTTATTTATTTTTTAACTGCAAGTGCATGATGGTGAGCAAAGCATAGGTCGAGGGTGTCAGCTTCACCTATCAACTCACACAAGGAGAGGGCGAGTGAAGCTGAGTATTCTAAATATAGACCTCCACTTGTGGAGCCCAGAGGAGAGTGCAGACCCTATGCTGGGGACCACCACTTTAGTCTTTCATTCTGGAGGCACTGACAGATGGGTTCCTGTGGGTCAGTTCCTGGGAGAGACGCTTAATCCCACAATCTCAAGGGCTGCTCAGAACTCTCTTACTTAATGGGAACCTAAAGACTGAGGAGGGTTTACTCAAGAGACTTTTTCAAAAGTGTGTTAGGATGAAGGGAAACCAAGGAGAAATATAAAAGATCCAGGGTGTTGGCCCTCCCTGGTGGTACAAGGGGTTAAAACACAGCACTAGGGCCCTCCCTGGTGGCGCAGCGGGTTAAAGCACAGCACTGAGAAGCTAAAGCCACTTCAGCATGAGTTCGATTCCCGCCTGCCCCGGAGGTGACCATATGGCGTGGCAGACCTCTCCTGATCCGCCCGCTGCTTCCCTCAGCAGTGTACTTCGTCGATCTGCCTGTTCTGCTCCCCTCTCTGTCTCTGGTGAAGCCTCTCGCTGCCCCTGAGCCTCTGGCCTATATCCCAGTTCTGTATGCACAAATAAATAAATCTTAAAAAAAAAAAACAAAAAACCACAGCACTAGGAAGCTATCAACAGCCACTGCAGCACGAGTTTGATCCCTGGCCAGGGAGCTGACCTATGTGGTGAGGCAGACCTCTCCTGACCCGCCTGCTCCACCTGTTCTGCTCCGACTCTGTCTCTCCCATGGTGAGTCCTCTCCCCTGACCCCCCTGTCCCCACCTCTGGCCAGTACCTCAGTTCTTATATGCATAAATAAATCTTTTAAGGAAAAAGATCCAGGGTTTTGTTTCTTTATCTTCCATATCTGAGTAAAATCACACACACAGAGCAATAAAGGATGTCTGTGATAGCCGGACATCCAGGCCAGAGGGCAGGGCTGCTCCTGGTGATGTAGGTCTTTTTAGGCAGGGGGTGCTGGTCCAGGTCTGACAAGAGCAGTGACCCCTGGACATCATATCTATAGATCACTGTATAGTTGGGATGGTGTGGGGTGGGGTATGAGAAAAGGGAGGCAGAGAGATGAGTGGAGGGGTGTGGATGCTGGTGGGCCTGGGTTGGTGCTGGTGATGAGGAGGCCTACGGATGTGGCAGAGATGAAGGATATACATCTGGGAACTACTCAGGAGAGAGACTCATGGTCCTGGCAGGCCTGTGTTTAAGAGAGAAACTGATAGGCCCTGTTCTGACTTGGGTTCCTATGTTGCTGGAGGTGCTGGTCACAAAGATGGGCGGCCAGGACACACAGATGCTCTCCCCTGTGGGCATATGGGACTGGTTACATTTCATAGCAATGGATGGTGATGGGCCTGTCTTCAAGGTTCAGTGGGGTAGTCTCTACATTTTGGTTGTGATGAAGAATGCAGCTATCAACATCTGTGTACAAGGTTTTGTATGAGCATGTTTTCGTTTCTCTTGGCTATATAACTAGGAGTATATAATTGCTGGGTCATGTGGTAAGTCTCACTTAAACATTTTGAGAAACCGCCAGAATGTCCTTACAAAATGCCCTGCTAGCCCTAGTCACATTTTTTTTTAAGATTTATTTATTTACTCATACAGAACTGGGGTACAGGCTAGAGTTGCAGAGGGTGAGAGGATTCACCAGGGACAGAGTGGGGAGCAGAAAAGCCAGATGGACGAAGTACACTGCAGAGGGGAGCAGCGGGCGGGTCAGGAGAGGTATGCCACGCCATGTGGTCACCTCCAGGGCAGGTGGGAATCAAACTCATGCGGAAGTGGCTTTAGCTTCTTAGTGCTGTGCTTTAACCCGCTGCGCCACCAGGGAGGGCCCCCAGTCACATTTTTTACAGTCTATTGTTTGATGGCCTAGCAACTCCAGCTTTCTTACAGTTACTTCTTAAGACTTGTCATAAATCCATATAGCCATAAATATATTATTTAATTATGCATGTTTTGAGCTTGGTAAAAACGGCGTCACACTATAAATGTTATCTCTGTGACAATGTGCTCGAAAAATCTCCCAGGGATTTCATTACTGCCTAGTATTCCACAACATGACCCTACCATAATCAATTTATCCCTTCTTCTGTCACTGGGCACTTGGTACAGCTCCACCACTCATCTTTTTTTTTTTATTTATTTGTGCATACAGAACTGGGGTACAGGCCAGAGGCTCAGGGGCGGCGAGAGGCTTCACCAGAGACAGAGCCCACCACTCATCTTTTGATAGAAAGGTTTCTTCTGCTCTCAGGGGTCAGCAGTATCAACATGGGCTGCGGATGTGTTGTAAATGCAAGTTCTGGGGCCCCATCCCTGATATACTGAGTCAGGATCTCGGGGAGTGGAGCCCTAAAACCTTTCACAAACTTTCCAAGTGATTCTGATGCTGATAAACAAGGAGCGCAGCTTCTGGATCTCAGAAGCCAAGTGCTTTCCTAGAAGGTTGTCCTGAGTTATTCTCTAGTCGCTGTGTATGTGAGTTTCCATGGATACATACAGTGAGGCTGGTCAGGTTTTTACAGTTTTGCCCTTGGAGGGGTTGATGACTGGTTTTTCCTACCGATCGTGGTCATGGCGGTTTCTGCTGCGCTGGGTCTCAGAACCACAACCACTCCACACGCCGGCAACATGACTGTCCCTGTCCTAAAGGCCTCTCTCCAGCAAGCCTTTGTCTTGACAGGAGTACATGCATCACCTGCTCCGCCTGGAGCAGCGAGCCGAGGAGCAGTTCCTGGAGCACTGGCTGAACCCCCACTGCAAGCCCCACTGCAACAGGGACGTGGTCCATCCGGTGTAAGGGGCTGGCGCCCAGCCTGTAAGTTCCTTCTTCTGGGATATGTTTGAAGGAGACAGTGGTGGGCAGCCCTGGTCTGGGCTCGGAGACCTCCTAGCTCATGTGTTGGGACCAGCTGCTTAGGGGGCCTGTGGGTTTGGGAGCGGCAAGAATGGGGTGGGCGAGATAGGAGGGAGCCAGGCTGAGAGGAGCATGGAGGGGGTGACTCAAGAGATCCCACTAGGGAAGGGACGTGACCCTACTTGCCAACCAGAAAAGGCCACTCAGGAATGTGAATCTGAGAAGTGCATCTGCCCAGGCTGGATGGACGTTGGTCATTGGCTTGGCCAGAGACATCCAGCACCACTGCTGTCAGCAGGACCAGCATTGTTTTTCTGCCTTCCTGAGCCCGCCAGCCTGGGAATCTGATAGTGCTGCTTTGCCCTGCACTTCTGGGGCCCCCCACGGGAGCACTCCCTTTAGGGCACTGCTCTTGAGAATTTTCAGGGTGCAGGCACGTCTGTTCTCTCAAGTGCTCCTCTTACCAGCCCCGTGTCAGTGCCGGGTGTGCTGGAAGCCCCTGGCAGCACCCTAAAAGGACTCCCAGAGGCTCCCTCCAGGCAGTGCCGTTGTCAGAGCACAAGGAGGCTGCGGAGGGAGGGGTGTGGGAGTCTGCTTGGGAAAAAATGTCCAACTTCTCCCTCAGTTTCCTCATCTTCAACACGAGGCTAGTACGAGCCCCGCCCCCCTATGCTTGTTCTGAGCACCAAAGAGTGGACACATGGAGATGAGAGCTGCGCCCCCGCCCCACCAGGAGGTGCTGGGAAGTGGGCGGCCCCTCCACCTGCGCCCGCTTGCCCTCCCGCCCCCGCTCTTCATCATGCCGCATTCTCTAACCTGGGCTTTATTTTCCTGCTCTTTCCCAGCAGACGTTTTGAGAAGCGATGGCCAGGAAAATGTCGGAACAAGATGAGGCTGCGTCTCTGGTTTGTCTTTCACCCGCGGGAATGGGCGTCTCCAGACCCTGTGAGCGGGGGTCTGATGGCAGGTGCTTCTGCTGCTTCCTTTTCCTTGTCTTCATAGCCCGTCACAACCAGTAGCTTGAAATACAGACACCAGGCTCCAATGGCCATCTGCCAGTTTGAGAGGTGACAGGAGAATCGAACCTGGGCCCATCGAGTGGAACCTGCCGGACAGGGGTGGGGCCCGGCTGCCTGCTCGAGGGCTTTGGGGAAGTCTGGTGTGGCATAGAGAAGCTGCCTGTGGGGCTACAGTTAGTGGGCCAGTTATTCCCCGCCCCCCCCTTTTTTCCTGCTCTAATAAACATCACTGTCAAATCTGCTTTTGGTGGCGTCTCCATTCTTATCGTTGAAACTCCAGCGTCAGGAAACTTACTGTTCTTTGTGTGAATGACTGTGTAAACACAAAAGCCCAGCTGTTTTTTCACAAGGGTCATCATTTTGGTAAAGAATTACTCCAGGGCCCTCCCTGGTGGTGCAACGGGTGAAAGCGCAGCATTAAGAAGCCAAAGCCACTTCTGAATAAGTTCGATTCCTGCCTGCTCCGGGGGTGATCCACATGGCGCGGCAGACCTCTCCTGACCTGCCCGCTGCTCCCCTCAGCAATGTACTTCGTAGATCTGCCTGTTCTGCTCCCCACTCTGCCTCTGGTGAAGCCTCTCGCCACCCCTGAGTATGCACAAATAAATAAATCTAAAAAAAAAAAAAATTACTCCACTACTCCAACCCCAAAAGCAGAGCCATAATGTAACCCCAGGTGCATGTTGTCTTCTGGCCATGGACTGGCTTCTTGTCCTTTTGCATTCCTGGGTCTCTCACCAGCCCACAACCCCTGGGACCTGACATTGGTCTTTCAAAGACCATCAAAAGCAGATATGAGCAGGGCAAGGGAAGGTGGGCTCAACTGTCCTAGGGAGGGTGTTGCATCAAAAATAGGTAAGGAGGGGCCTCCCTGGTGGCACCAGGGGTTACGTCTCAGCACAATGAATCTGCCCGCAGCCCCTGCAGCACAAGCTCAATCCCCGGCCAGGGAGCTGACCCACATGGCGCAGCAGACCTCTCCTGACCCGCCCGCTGCTCCCAGCCAGTGTATTTTGGTAGATCCGCCTGTTCTGCTTCATACTGTGTCTCTGGTGAATCTTCTTACCCTCCCCCACCTCCAGTCTCTGGCTTATGTCCCAGTTCTTGGATGCATAATTGAAATAAATCTTTACAAATAAATATATAGGTAAGGAGGGAGGCTCATTCATCTGGGTGACTGCAGAGACCTGTTTCAAGGGACACCAGCCCAGGGACAAAGTTATAGAGCTTCTCAGCAAAGGTGCACACTGGGGGCCACATCCCGCAGCCGGATTTTGGATAGTGCCTCATCTGATCATCACACCTACTCTCTGCACAAGATTGTGTCCATTTTCCCACCTACGAGGAGAGAGAGATGGATGGGACTTAGTAGGTCTCTATCTCGGCTATAACAATTACTAGAGACTTAGGGGCTTCAAACAATACAGATTTATTGTCTTATCTTCTGGAGCCTGCCACAAGTTGCACTGGGCTAAATACTGGGGTGTCTCCAAGGCTGTGCTCCTTTTTGAAGGGGAATCTGTTTTCTTGCCGTTTCCATCTTCAGTGTCAGCAATGGCTTTCTCTCTGCCACCCTCTTTCCCTCTGAAGGTCCTTGGTGACCTTACTGGGCCTATGCGGGTAACTCAGGGCGAGCTCCCCATCAGTCGCAGCAACCTTGGTTCTGCTTGCCACCGTGATTTCCCATGACAATCTAAGGTGACACATTCCAAGGCACCAGCAATGAGGATGGGTGTGGGGGATCATTACCCCACCTGCCTGAGACAGGTTATTCATGGTCCCAGCTGGAGGGTGGAGCAGCTGGGAGGTGGCTTTGAGCACCCCCTTACTACAGAGCTCCCAAATGCTGCACTCCTGCTGGAAATCTGAAATCTCGTTTTCTTGATTAGGTGCTCTTCTTAGATGAGCTCCTTGAAGGCTTGGGATATGTTCTTAACGGGGCTTCACTGCACCCCTTGTCTACTGGGAACAGGTAGCGCACCCCTCACCAGTGCCAGACCCAGTCCATGGGCACAGAAGCTGGCTGCAGGGGCTTGCCCCTGGGTGTAGAATGGTGGCAGGCAGACTCTCCCGCTCAGTTCTCCACGCTGCCTGGCTCTCCAGGCTCTTGGGGGCATTTCCTGAGAAATGGCAGCTGAATATGTATACAAATGTGACTAATATGTGGCAAAAGAGAGGGGGAGAGAAGTAGAATTCAACATAAAGCAGATCCACAGGGAGCCGGGGTCTTGTCCGTACAGAGGAGGGTCTCCCTGGAGTTTCTGAGAACCCTGGTCATAGTTCACATCTCAGGGCAAAAACTTTCCTTGACAACAGAGGAGCTTCTTCAGCTGTCCACAGAGAGCCTGGTTTGCAGCCTCTTCTCCCAGGCACTGACCAGCACGCTCCCCGCCAACCCACAGGCGACAGGGCTAGGCGCTGCATTCACCGTGAGCTCTCGGCACCTTCACCTCCACCTGCCTCACAACTGTGGCTCCGAAGGCAGGTGAGTGACAGTCAGAGGACCACGGTGCGACCTTGACAGCAGCGAGTCTGAGGTTCAGAGTCCAGGTGAGTTGCCAGATGGCATCTAGTCCTTGCTCCACCATGGTTTAGCTGTGTGCCCTTGGGCAGGTTGGTTAACCTCTCTGGTCTCATCTCCCTTGTCTGTAAAATGGAAATAATAATAACAGTACTTAGTCTAAATGTTATTGTGATAATTACTTCAATGAGTAAGCAGTCCCAAAAACCTAATTATTACTTTAAAAAAATTCTTGGGCAATTTTTAAAAAGATTTTATTTATGCATAAGAACTGAGGTATAGGCCAGAGGTAGGGGTGAGATGGGGTGAGAGGATTCATCATAGACTGGGAAGCAGAACAGGAGAGTTAGAAATGCACTGCTGATAGGAGCAGCCGGCCAGACAGGAGAGGTCTGCTGTGCCAAGTGGGATTATACGCCCTGGCCTGGGATCCACCTCAAGCCTTCCTGATCGCACTGCAACTTAACCCCTTGGCCACCAGAGGGACCCCTTGGGCATTATTTTATTCATTTAATTTTGGGAAAAGGTGGAGGATGTGTGGGAGGCTCAGTGTACAGAGGAGCTGCCTCCTTACTTGAGTGAGAGTTGTCATCTTGGAGTTATTGAATCTTCCTGTGAACATGGTCTGTCTCTCCATTTGTTTAGGCCTTTCTGGGTGATGTTCGCTATTTACAGTTTATAATCTTCTTTGTAAAGATCATGCATATCTTCAGTTGGTTTTATTTCTAGGTAATTTGTAGGATTTTAAAAGTAACTGGAATTTTCTTAAATTACACTTTCCTCATTAGTTATCCTGCTATGTATAGAAACAATATTGATTTTTATACCATGTTCATATCCAGTTACCTCTTGGATATCTCTTATAATCCTAATGGTTTGGGGTTTTGAGAGGTTTACTATATATGAACTTCTTTTTGCCCCCCAATTTAGAACAAGTTGAGAAGTAAATGTGGGAGTCAGAATAAAAACGGTAACTTTTATTACCACTGAGGCCTTTGGGAAATGTGGATTATATCTCTGGCTACACTAGGCTCTTTAATACTCCATTCCTTAATTAATGTTCTCAGTAGCAGCCAGAACTAGAAAATAGCCAAAATCTCTTGTAGGCCCTGCCCTGGTAGTAAGGACGGGAAGGAGCATTCCCTACAGGTGGGTGTCTCCCCCAGGGAGGAGAGAGCATGGTGCTGGTAAACTCCTTTTTGGGGTGGGTGAGAGAGCCATTGGATGCCAGGAAGTTATTCCAGAGGAATTACTACCATGAAGAAACATGAAATAAATGTTCCTCGCAGGCTGTGGGGCCCACCACACCTTCTATGCAGAAAGTCCTGTTACCCTTGACCAGATTGTTTCTTCTATATGACCCTTATTTCTTTCTCCTTTTAAAAAAGATTTATTTAGTTATGCATACAAGAACTGGGGTATAGGCCAGAGGGGTGGAGGGGTGAAAGAATTCACCAGAGACAGATGGGGAGCAGAACAGGCTGAGTGACGAAGTACACTGCTGAGGGGAGCAGTGGGCGGGTCAGGAGAGATCTGCCGCCCCATGTGGGTCAGCTTCTGAGCTGGGGATCCAGCTTGCATCGCAGTGGCTGCAGACAGCTTCATAGCATTGTGCTTTAACCTGTTGCGCCACCAGGGAGGGCTTCCTTATTCCTCTTATTAGTTTTTCCTGTCTTACTGCTATATATAGAAATTCTAGAACAGCATTGAACAGATGTCCTAATAGTGTGTCTTCTGGCCTCATTCCTGTCTTCAAAGGAAATAGGATTGTGATAGCCTTTTGGCAGAAAACTATTAACAGGTCATGGAAATTCTCTTTTGCTAGTTTGAAAAAAAATTATAAAGGTGGATTTAAGGGTTTGAGTGTATTCCTTGAAATGGCCATCTGATATTATCACTAATAGGATAATAATAAAATTTTCTGGTCTTAAATCACCCTTAAATCCCTTAGCTAGTGTGCTTATCAGGGAAGGCTCTCTGCAGGGGGCATCTTTTGTGACTGTGAAGAAATCAGCTTGACAAAAGAGAAGAACACGTGCATAGAAGGTAGGGAAGAGTGAGGATGTTGATGATGAGAATTGTTGCAGCTAGAGGTAGCAGCAAGTGCAAAGGCCCTGGGGTGGGGAAGAAACTGCTGTCGCATACGAGCTTCCAAAATGCCTGTCACCTCGCCTCTGAAGAGTGAGGGGAGTCTGTGATGAAGATATTGGTCGGTCTCACATAGCCCAGCTATTCCCCTCAAAACTTGTAAACTCACCTGATAGAAAACCAATCACCCCGTTGAGAGATTTTTTAAAAACTGATTTAAATTTGACAACTGATTTTTTGGTGTGTGGCCCAGTTTTCATGTAGTTGAAAGTTCCTTCTCTCTCTCTCTCAATTAAATGTGGGCTCTGATGTTGCTGTATCCTGGTCATATTAAGGTTCTTGTGGTTCAGTGGATATCAAAAAGGATTCATTCTCAAAGCATGCTGCAGCTCCAGGCCAACAGGGAGCTTGTTGGCATGCAGATTCTCATGTCTACTTAGACCTTCTGAATCAGAATCTCAGGCGTAAAGGTCCAGCAATCTGAGTGGTTGCAAACCCTCTGAGTCTCATGTTCCCAGGAGTTTGGGAACCACTGGCCGGAGCTTTCTGGAGTTCCCAGATGGGGAAAGAACTCACCCTTAACACTAGGAGGCCTGGGTCCTGGTTCACTTCACTCACTTCTCTGAA